GATGATCCAAGTCGGAGTTCGCTTCTGAACAAACCTCCTATCCAATCGACTCACTGTGTTCCCGGACCTACGCCGTGAGTGCTGTTCGTATTGCAATGATTTTACCAAAACTGACATCGTCCCGCATGAAGTAATGTATGTTTGCGAGTAATGCAGATCGGACACCCATGAACTGGACTCCCAGTTATCGTTTTCGGGAACATGGTCCGCTCGGCATCTGGTCTAGGACATACGCTTCATGACTTCATGCCAACCTGCTAAACCTCGTTCCTCAGTTTGATGCGGTGAGACAGCGAAGAATCAGTGCATATGCCCCTTTACAAAGATCCGACTCGCTTCTACTCTTGCAGCATCGAAGGTGATGACACATTGAACATCGTTGAAGAAACAAGGCCACGATCAAATTCGCTATCACTCGAACGCATAGTTCTGACCTCCATTCTGCCGCGCAGGTATGCATCGAATCAACGCCCGAATGATCGATGTCAAAGCTATTCAATAAGGCTTTCCATCCGCATTATGTAGTCCTCCGTCGCCATGTTCAGGTAATCTTGGTCATGGAGCTCGCATCTTCGAGCCATTTCCACGACATGTTCGCCTGGTGCATACGTGCGACCGTCAAATCGTATCTACCCACGCAAGGATAGGAACCCGTCGTGCGTCAGCCCGAACCCGCGCAAATGTGATGTTACCAGTAAGTGCATTCGCCTTAAATACCTACTGTTAGGCTTCTCGACGCTGATCTTGGTTATAGCGTCGACATGTCTTCTAGGCTATACCACCTGCGATCGTTCAAACAACTTCAGGCTCGACGTGGTGAGCCTTCATACAATACTTCATTCGACCGTCCCCTGTTTGATACATATGCTTCCCCGACAGCGATATGACGGTGCCGCCGCGCTGCAGAGACGTCCTAAGTCTGAAGAAGCATAGCTGTCCGTGAGCACCGCGTTACGTGTTAATTCACGTGCCTCTAGGTTGATATAAAAAAGGCCCCATCGGCTGACTTCTTTTTTCCGACGTTGTTTCTCTCCGTCACCACGTCGCCATTTTTTATTTCCCCACCACCCACATCCACTCTCGCGAAGTGTGTCGTCTCTCCATGTGTATATCACTTCCTTGTTCCTTCTGACACGGTCTCCCAGGCTCGCATTGCATCCCGTCGCAATGGCTGAAACAGGCAAAGCCGGTGCAGCCGGCGCCGGTAAGCACCTTTCGTGTTGACGTTTTGTTTGTTGTTACTTATGCACTACTATACAGGTCGTGGGCATGGCAAGATGGAGTTCGATGGCCGCACTCCTGGCCCCTACGCTTTCTCGGATGCACCCTGCGGAACGTGTGCCCACTTAGCATATCATCTTACCGTTCTTCTCGCCGAGAACGAGAGGCTGAAGACCCTGCTGGGCCTTTCCCGTAACCCGTTTCTCAACCCGTTTCTCAATGCCGTCTACCCCAATTTGAACGTCAGGGCTGCCGCAGATACCCTCAGCGAGGTCAGCGCAAACACTGTCGCCGGTGCCAACGCCGCGTGGGCTGCTGCTGCTCGCAGAAGTAATGCAGATAACAACGCCATGGAGTATGACGCTGGAGGTTACGCTCGTAGTTCTGATACCGTCTAGTTGGAGATGTTGCCTTCGTGCTTGGGATGTTCCACGTCGTGCATGTTTTGCTGTATCACTTTCGTTCCCTTAGTTACCTTTGTCGGTATTGGATGTAAACCGCTGAATGCAAGTTTGGTTTTCCGCCAGAAGGATGATCACGTGATCCTCATCGATGACCAACGTTCGTCGTCAAAGTAAGCTTACCCAGCTATCTTCTGCTTACTCCTGCTTCACGTTTCGCGCTGGGTAAGCACGTCTCTCGATACTTTGCGGTTATCTTAGTGGGTTGTCCAGCAAGCCGTACTCGACATGATCATGCTCTGCCTTCCAGGTCGAGAGATTGTCAACAATGGACACGATGTTCTGTGCAGGCTGCACTCTGGGTGTCGCGCACATTCACTTCGTTCTTCCGCTTCTGTCGAAGGGCTGTCTGCATCCAACTGTGGGGCATATGTTCGCTAGTCACGCGACGGTCAAAACGGCGCCATCTTTCTGCTTACGTCGAAGGATGCGTTGTGCGATCAGCTGGATCCGGCAGTTGATTTTGTGTACTGGCTTGCCCCCCCGGTGCCATCTTGTTAGAGTACGCGCTACGCGGATGCAGTCTCATCGGTTTGCTGATGCCGCCTTCCCAGTGATATGCCGCCCAGAGCCAAGGCTTCCACTAAAGCTCCTACCCGGCGACAACCGCAGCGACGCCAGCGCAAGGAGCCGACGGTTACGCAAGAGTCTCGCCCCGAGACGCCACGATCCTCCTCAGAATCCTCGTTGACATCCCTGAGCGACGAAGTGCCTTTGAGGGGTGGCAAGCTTGACTTCCCGGATCCCAAAGATATTCATGTCGTTCCTTCTCGCATCTTCTCCATTTACACGAATACGCCCCTTTTTCATCCTCAACCTACTTTCACGGAAGATTCCTCGCTAAGGGACCATCCTCCGTCTTCATCTACATCACCGACACGCGTGATCGCCGATCCCCTGGATGTATGCGTCAACAACACAATCCCGGAACCTGCGAGAGTGGGATCGGTTTCCGAACGTTTGCAAGATGAGGGACGTGATGGCGAAGGTTTCAATCAATTGGTGCCTCATGGTGGTACGTCACCTTCGATATCTCTTGATCTGTACACTCACTCGTCTTCATGTAGCTCCGGGCTTGGCAAACACAAAACCTGTCCGGGTAGGAGCGCCGTCGAAGCGCCATAGGCCCTCATTTCACGAACTACAACAGAATGAACGACACGATGACGAGGGTTGTCATCTGATGGTTCTCGATGATTGTACGTCCTGGGTCTATACTATAGATGAGCCTCTTCGCTCACTGTAATGTAGCTTCAGACTTCGCAAGCGGGGAACATACTGGGAACGAACCGCCGTTGAAGCGGCGCCGGTCCGTCAGTCAAGAACCACCCCATACCCAGCGCCCTTCTGGCTACCTCCCATCGTCCTCACACCCTCATGCTCACCCACGAGTTCTCCTCAAGCGAGTTTCACCTCCACCTAACTCCTCTACCAGAATCGGCGGCACTATTCATACCTCAATGCCGCAATGCGACGAAAATGAATATCGTGATGAGGATGGCCCGAGGTTGGACGGAGCAGACCTTCGAGGTAAATAATATTCCTGCCGCTCCTTCGTGGTGGCTGAGGCGATGTTGGATGCCCAGATTATCCATCAGCACCCGCATTTGCTCGCCAAAACATTATCTCAATTCATGGTACGTATATCATATCGCCGTTGGTATTCGGGCATATACTCACCTACTTCTAGATCCTTTGGTTTCGACCTTAACCAATAGCGTTCGAGGTTATCTCGATGCGTCGCAAACACGCGCGGAGAACGTCGGTGTACGGGTCGAGTCTCCGTCCGAACAGGCCGCCACCCGCCTTCGTGCTATCCGTCGATTTCGTCCCTGGGACAATCTGGGGTATCTTGCTTGTCCCCTCGGCGTTGCGTGCTGGGATGTTGCCCTCAATCTCGTTGGCGCGGAAGTCGAGGCAAGCTCTGCGGTGGTTCTGCGAGGTGGCCACTTCTGGGCCCCCGATCCCTATATTCTCCTCCAGGAGTCCGACGCGGGCGCCTCTGTGATGGCGTCGAACTACATACGCTTACACCACATTCTAATCCCTTCTTTCCAACGCCTTTCCGCTGCCAATACAGCCCTCGATATCACAGAGGACAGCGAGAATAGTGGCAGCACGTGTTTGTCTGGTCGACTGTGGAAATGGATCCTAGGCCCCGATATTGCGCAAGTTTTACACCCGAATGCTAGAATGGCCCAGCTTCCGCGGAAAGCCAACGAAGCAACGAAGATTCTACGCATGAGGGCGTCGTTGGGCCTGTCCAACGTTTTGTTGGTTGGTGAAGAAGAGCTCGCCTTTCAGTATCCCAAGGTCTTCCATTCCGCGTTGAATTGGTGGGGTAACATCCTAGAACCGTCCTTTACGAAAGATGCGAGACTCATGGCTTTCATATTGTTTGAGCTTTGCAACATCCATTTCGCGTTAGAATTTCGCGCTCTCGATATCAAACTGGCCGATCGAGATCCCGCCGCCCACCTCCAATCCGTTGTTCGTTTCTTCGGCGACTCGTTAGGGATCCCCGCTGCCCGTCCGCATCCCGACCATGCCTTAGACTTCTCCGATGGACCTCGTGGCTTCAAACTATTGCTGAATATGGGCTTCGTCATGGAGGATTGGAAAGGCGGCTCCGTGCTGCCTGCCGACGTCAAGGCGAAGCTACATACCCTTCCGAAGATGCCTTCTGTCCAACCGAGCGTGGTACGAGAACTGGAGGCCGCTCTCTGTCTCGCATATTGCCGCGCCTTTGTCGAGGTTTTTGATCGAGCGCCGATACTGCCTCGCCAATTCCCGACTCAGGAGTTCTTTCGGCGTCGGGGAATTCTCGTATCGTAGTACCTGCTGCGCATCGGTCGTGTAGGTGATCGGCAATAGAAGGTGCTATCAGAATTATTTCCCCGAGTTGCGCGTCTGATCTACTGTACCTCCGAGAAAGAGGGCGGGCCCGTTGACCTTGTTGTCCTCCACGTTCCCGCCATCGACCACCTCCATCCATCCTCCTGTGCTTCACCAAAATGGGATTCCCTCGACGCGCATTCAAGAAAGACCCTAAGAAAAACGCAAGACCGAACCTCACGCTTCACGTTGGGCCGAGTTTGCCGCCATTCAAGGCCCTTGCACTTCCTAAGCGAGGTCAACCAAAGCCGGTGATTGTGTTTCCGGACCATGTTCTCTCCCAGTTCTCTTCCCGACACAGAGGTCAACCCGGCCACGACGATTCCGAGCCCGAGGACGACGCGGAGGGCGCTGAGGGATCCACACCCCAAAGTGTTCGGTTCTCGTCGCCGATATTTTTCCCCCCCGAACCACATCCAGAGGAAGAGCTGAAGAAGGCTCGGAAGGAGAAATACAGGCAGAAGAAGCAGAGGCAACACGATCGCTGGCGAGAAGTCACCATACCAGAGCTTGAGGGACCATATATGGACTACGTGCGGCGCGTGGCCAGCGCAGAGTGCGAGGATCCGCCCTCGTCTGAGTGCAACTGTCAAGGGACCAAAAGCACGATATCGCTCCCAGTCGTCTTCTGGGATCGTGAGTGCGTTCAGCTACTCTTTATCTCCCTGCTAATCGGCGTTGCAGACATTGAAGATCGTGAAGTTGTGGTGTGCCCTTGCACCTCTATCGCGCACCGTCTCATTCTCGCTGGTCTCTTCCCCTCTGCTCCGCAGCGTCCTTCGTTAGCTATCGACATCAAGCTTCTCGAGCTGACACGAGTGCTGTTTCTTCATGTGGCCCCTAACGTGACGGCTTGGACGTCCACGCTCGAGTATTTCCTCGAGGAGAGCGGGCAGAAACTACAAACCAGGGTGCGTATCGACTTTTCTTCTTCCGATCGCTGTGTTTATACAGGCTCTGCAGGATTCCCTTCGGCGACGTTTCGGAAACGCGCTCAGGTGGTATTCACACCTGGTGAATGTCGTAGCGGATAAGACAACAACTGCTGTGGAGGACGCGCTCGTTGTGTTGGAGAAAGCAAAAACGGTTGATGGTGGGCAGACATCTTCTGCAGGTACGCAATACGAAACTGCTGGTCATACATAATGCGCTCAACCTCGCGCCTCCAGCATCCACAACACCCCACAGCTCTCCTACCTCATGCCCTTGTCCCACCGAACGTGACACGAGCGACGTCTCTCAAAATGACGTGTTTTCATCGCATCGGAACACGTCCATCAGCGGTTCTATGGCCCCACCGTCCAACCATACCAGCACTGATCAGATCGCATCGGAAGGGAATGCTCGAACGGAGGAGCCGGCGGCTAGCCCTGATACCCCCACTTCAAAGACGGCGGGTCGATATGCAGAAGGCAATCGGCCAAGTTTATACCTGCAATCACGGTGCCCTCTGTGCTTTGGTGGACAAGGGGGGCATGATCCCTCGGCACCGTAAGGGCATGGTTAACGACGGTTCCGTGCATTTCTGACTAACCAACCACTCCTAATCAGTGTCGATGTAATCGCTTGCCTTGACGCGTGTTTCACCCAGAAGAGACGCTCCGGTCCTCACGATTCCGGACGTTTATATCCCAGGACTGTATTCCTTTCGGACGCGGAGATATCGGCTATGGAGGCGACTGTGGAACTCTTACGGCCCAGTAAACCCTCCCAAAACAAGCATCCGCGCGGCTCCGACGTGGGATCGATGCCACGGGCAGACACGCGCAAACGCAAGACCAGAGATCCCGGCGCCGAGGCAGCGGATATCGACGATAAGTGTGAAGGCCCGTTGAGGGTACCAAATTCCGTTCTAGACGGCTGTGAGTCTTCTTTCAAGGCGGCGGACGAGCAACGAGAGAAAGCAAGCACCACGTTCTTCGACGACACCGGGCTGATGGCATTGCTTTGTCGCCATGATCGTGTATTATGGCTCGCGAATATGACTACGGCCGGCGAACGTCAGCACTATTCATTGGCACTTGTTGACAAATTCTTTCAACATCTCCCGTTGTCGTACAATGTGGGCCTCCTCTACGATATAGGTTGTCAGCTTCACCGCAGCTGTCACAAGTGGAACTTCTTACCTGAAGTTCTGGACCGTATCGTCTTCGCAATATCGGTGTTTCACGCGTATGGTCATCAATGGCCATGCCAGGTCATATATCACCCACGGAAATGCATCGGATTTGGCTTCTCCGATGGTGAAGGCTGCGAGCGTTTCTGGAGTTGGTTGAGCCACCTCATCCCGTGCTTGAGAGTTTGCTCGGTCAGTGTTTTGTCTATCGATGTTGGCAAGAGTTCTCATTAGATCTTTAGTCTGGTCTTCGATACGACACGATCGACGAACAGGTCTGTCATCTAGACCGAATTCAGCTCCTTTCAGCCGGGGAGTTACTTCACCGCAAGTATAACGCCTGCCAGGAGCGTGCCGCTGAGGCTTACGATGGCCTGGAGCGATGTGCGGTGTCACTCAACGTTTTGCGCGCTCAGTGGGCCGCTCAACAGAAGGCTCAAACGAGGCCTATTCCTCGTAGGCATCTATCCTCATTGTAACCGCAGACTCTGACGCAGGTATAGGTCAAGCCAAAAACGCTGGCAACAAGACTATCGATACTCTATTGAAAATGGATGAACGGGTGCATGCCCTCGATGGCGCGATACGCAAACTTGATTCCGCCGTCGGAGCGAATCCCGATCTTCTCATTAACATCCAGGAACTTGAAGAGGACAGGACGCAATTACGACAGCGCATTCGGAATGTAGAGTCGTTGCTGAACGTCCAAGATAGGCTGCTCCTCCGGAGCATGAAGAACAACAAGTACCTCACGCGTCGTGTCAATGCATTGGCCTTGAAGACACGTATTCGAGATCGCCTTCGGCATCGGAAGTTCGAATGGCGTAGAGTAGAAAGGGCGTTCAGGGTGCAGTCCTCCGGTAAGCCTTTCTGCCCGGAGTTGACCCATGAACCTACTGATGGATGCCATCCAGAACGGAAGTTAGCTGTACATGCCAGCATGGCAATTCACAGGCATGAGCCAGGAATACAGGCTCTCGCGCGTCGCTATAACGCATTATGCTCTGAAATCAGCGAGTTGATCCGAAACGGACAGGCGCCAGCTCGCGCAGCGGCACCCAACCCTATCGACCTGGAACAATTATGGGCCCTTGACGTTGACGACAATATATGGCAGGATACGGGCCTCTTTGATGAGGAACGTACGGACGGATCAAACACGCCGCCGCCGTGGCTGGCAGACGAGAAGGTCCGCGAGGGCATACAACATATGCTCGCTCTTGATCGTTGCCAAGAGGAGTTTGCGCGTCTCCGCAAAGAGCGGACGGCCCTTCAGGAATGGCTTCGCGAGCGGTGGGCCGCGGTGACTGCCGCGCGGGATACAGGTGAGCTGCGTCGTCGATGCTTGATCCGAGTTTTATGTCTGACACGAAGGAATAGCGGTCAGTGCGGGTCTTCGATACCAGTTGGAGCTTCGGCGTGTGGAGCTGCTCCGGCTCGCAGTGGAATGGTCGCGTCGCGCAGGAGACATTCCCGCTCTTGCTGATCGGAGCGACGATTGGGGACCTACCGCTGAAGAAATGACTAGAGCGAGGACTTTTGAGTTCTCATTTTCTACTGTTGAACCGAATACCTTAGTGCAGCCGACGGTGGACAATGAAGATGATGACGACTCGGACGACTTCGCCGACGACGACGATGACGACGCCATCAGCGACAACTTGGCATCTTTATACGATCTTGTCGAAGATTTGCATGTGAACTCCCCTGAACACCACAAGTCGGACGCCTTCTTGACTGATATGTTACCTACGCCGTCCCGGGTGCAACAAATCAACCGATTGCCGTCGTCGTCACCTGGTCACGATGCGGGTACGCATTTCCCTCCGATCGCTGCGCCGTGACTAAAACTTGTCTAGTAGACCTTTATGACGTCCGGCGCCGTCCCGTCGAGGTGAGTCTATCGGCGCTTCTGGCATACGTTCTACTGCTTACACCATCACGCAGCGCCCTCCTCGCGGCTCCGAACCTGAGTATAGCCCTCACCGTCGCGCAGGTCCATCTAGATATCGCGCCAATGGATATCCTGCGAGCTTACGCCCAACATCCCCGGACGCCCTACCGCATACACCACCCCGAGACGCAAAGCGTCGTGCCGTTGGACTCGGACATGCGGCGCGTCATGCTTCTCGAGGCAGGGCTCCGTCGCAACTGGGTCAACCCGGTGGTACGCGGGATCACCTGTCGCCCGTCGTGGAGTCGCCATACAATCGGCCGGATCCCGCCATGGAGGGTGTCTATCGCACCCGCAAGCCTGATGTCGCATACAGTGATGATGATTAAACAATACTGTAACTACACCGCTGAGCCTTCGGTTAATATGATTTCATGTCCTATCAGGCTATGTTCAATTGTGAGAACTCCGAACCAAGCAGGCTTGTATTAGAGTGATAGTTGGTATTATCGCGGCCGGTTGTCAGCCCTCTTTCGCAAAT